CCTGATATATATTTGTTTATGGTCTCCTGCTACTAAGTCCCACAGGGTGGGGATTTTTTTTTTTTTTTTTTTTTTTGCTGTTTTACTCCTCCATATCTAGAACTGTACTTGGCACAAAACGTTCAACTTTTTGTTCAATCAGTATGAGCTTCAATCAATATGTTCAATCAATATGAGCTTCACAAAACAGGTTCCCTGCCTCAAGAAACGTTGAGTCCACTGGGTAGAGGTAAAAGACATAAAATACAATAATTGCATGTGCTCAGTGGGACACAGGAGCCTCCAAATCTGCCCAGAGGATTTACGTACGCAGATACGATGGAATGCTTAATCGAGGTTGTGCTAATTTATAATACAATAGACAGCCAAGGCTCTTATAAACTATAATGTATTAGGCAATTGTGAGATTACTATACTTGGCAAAGGTGAGATCACATCTTGCCTATTATTACTTCCTCGTCTCGAAAAATTTACGGGGAATTTACTTCATTTACTTCCTCTTTAATCCAAAAAGCCTACTGGCTGTGAATGGTATCGTCCAAAGGGAGTGTAAAATATTGTTTGGTCTGGGAGTCTGCGTAGCGAAGGGCTCGCTGGGGCTGGCGCATGCGCACCTTCCAAGGCACGGCAAGATGGCTGTCAGCCACTTTGTCGCGCGTCGGTGCACCGAGGAGTTAGCAGCGGCGGCGGCGGCAGCAGCTGCTAGAGAGTAACAGTGGCCTTTGACCGGTGGGAATTTTACGGCCTGCTGTGTGAGCTGGACAGCCCCAGGAGGGAGACTGCTAGGAAGCAAAAGGCGGGGCGGAGTGGTGAAGCCCCTCCCCCAACCTCTCCTTAGTTTGACCAACTCCCTCACCCTCCTGCGTTCTTCCTCCTAGCTCGCTACACGCTGATCTGCTGCGCAAGCGCACAAATAATCGAAGAGCCTTCTTGGCCCTTGGGGCTTGCGGGCTTCTGCGCGCGCTTCTCGTTCTTGCCCTTGGATTGGTCAGATTGCCCCGCCATCACGCCTCCCTCTGCTTTCTAGGTTGAGAAGGAAGCGGGGAGGCGGGGCTAAGCAGCGCGTGCGCGATACTGTTGCTGTCCCTTTGCTGCTATTGCGTTGCAAAAAAAATCCTGACTAGGTAGCCTTGGGCCTTTTCTGTGCTAGAAGATCTAAAGGAGAAAGATTTCTGCAACTGAAGGGGCAATCGGGTAGTATTAAATTTGAGATATTAACGCCTACCCTTACAGGAGTGTGTGTGGCGTTGGAGTGGGGAAGAACCTTAGCTTTGAGAGCCGAAGAGTGTAAAACCATTAATTTCGGGGCCAGGCGTTTTGAAAGGCTTCGCAGGACCTTGTTTTCTGCGTAATTCTTCCGTTATTATTGACTGGTTCAAACACAACCCCTTGAACAATTCTGATAAACCTTTGATACCCGCAGCCCCTCCTTCCAGCGTGTAGGAGCCGCCAGCGTGCCCGGCAGCTGGTCCTCGCGTCCTACCTCTCGAAGAACCTAGCGCGTGCACCATCCCCACCCCCTGGCCTCCCTCCCCACCTACGGCCTTCACGCACTCGCAGTGATTGTTTTGCCCGCTCCCGCCGCCGCCGGCGCGGCCGCCAGAGGAGCAGCAGCGCTTGTGCAAACCGGGAAGATGGCGGCCGGCGGCGGCGGAGGCAGCAGTAAGGCCTCCTCCTCGTCGGCCTCTTCGGCAGGGGCTCTGGAGTCCTCGTTGGATCGAAAATTCCAGTCGGTAACCAACACCATGGAATCTATTCAAGGCCTGTCGTCTTGGTGTATAGAGAACAAGAAACACCACACTACTATCGTCTACCATTGGATGAAGTGGCTCCGGAGATGTGAGTGTTGGGGGTGCCTAGGGAAGGGAAGACTGGGGAAATGGAAGGAAATCCTTCCCTAAACTAGCCTGGGGTTTTCCCACGGAGTCACTGCATTCGGTTGGCGTTATTCACGTTCAAGCTTTGACGCGAGTGTTCCCAAGCCCAGACTCCATTCCCAGCCAGGGTTGCCCTGAACTGCAGGAAGCTCATCATTTCTTGGATTTTTTTACTAGCTGCTGACTTGGTGTGTGTGACCTTGGGCCCTTGGGCCTAGATCTTTCGAGATGTAGGTATTACTTCTTTTCGGAGCCTTGTGAGTGCTGTTAGCTTTACTGAACCTTCGCGGAAATTGTCGCGTCCGTTTGTTTCTCATAGGCCTTGACGTGCAAATGGTTTTCCTGATGATAGACAAGCTTTGGTTTAAGCAGTAGCAAACCCACGTACTTGGTTGGCATGTGTTGGACCACTCTATTTTACGTTGACCTAAAATTCGTGATGTGTAATAAGAAGGGCCTTACTTGGGTGAATGTTGAGAAGTAACACGAGCTCCACGTAGAGCTGAGAGGACCACCTGGGAGGGTTCCCTGTACCCGTGTTAATTGCAAATAAAATACGGGCTTCTTGATACCAGAAATAACTGTAGTCAGTGTCATCACTGATGCCTTAAAATATAAAAAAATGTCCGGCTATTTTTCAGCACCTGTAATGCCTTTTTAAAGAAATGAGTTTGGTGTCCTAGGTAATCAAAACAGGAAATCAAGAAATGTGCTTTTTAAATATGTAGTACTTTTTTTTTTCCCCAGTGACTGCTTTTTTGTCTCTTTGGGGGATTTTTTCCCACTTTGCTGCTTTACTACAGAAAAGAAGTATATTAAACTGTCAGGAAGCATGGATTGTCAGCAAAACATTTCAAATCTTTTAGGAGTAAGTGTGAAGTCACTGTTGCTTCCGGCTGAGAAGAGAGAGAGGGTTAACCCTAATGCCATATATATCTATTTGACTTTTAGGTCTTTTGTTGCTTCTTGTCTGTGGCATGTCACCAGTGAGACCCATCTTCTAGTTACTCTTCTTATTCCACTTCTGCCATTGCCCCTGTAATGTTTGGATTTGTATTTACCTTTTAGGGAACAGATGGATAAAACTTATGAAATCATAGGCCCCAGTCTTCAGACCATTTGTGTATATAAAGTTATTATTGGTAGAGATGTCTTGTGGTTCTTTGAATAACATATGCCAGAAAGGTTGTAGAACCAAGACAAGATTACCTAGATTTACTAATAGATCAAAGTTACTTTCTTTCCAAGAAGTAAAGTTAGAACATACGATAACAGGCATCATCAAAGACTCTCATCTGCTATCTGCCCAGTCCTTTATTGTTATTTACAATATCTCATTATACTTTAAAATATCTACAATACTTTAACATATTTACAATATCTCATTATACCTTAAAATAACCCTAAGAGGGGCGCCTGGGTGGCTCAGTCGGTTGAGCTTCCGACTTCGGCTCAGGTCATAATCTCACGGTCTGTGAGTTCGAGCCCTGCATCGGGCTCTAGGCTGACAGCTCAGAGCCTGGAGCCTGCTTCGGATTCTGTGTCTCCCTCTCTCTCTGACCCTCCCCCGATCATGCGTTGTCTCTCTCTCTGTCAAAAATAAATAAACATTAAAAAAATTAAAAAAAAAATAACCCTAAGAGGTAGATTTTTTTTTTAAATCATTGATTTCAGGTAGGGAAACTTAAAGCTCAGCAAGTAAATTCCTTAATGTTACACAGAAAAAGGGTGGAGTTAGGATTTTACTCTACAAATACCAGATGACAATGGCCACATTTAACTTTGTAAAATAATGTTTTCAAGATTAAAAAAAAAAAAAAAAAGATTAGTCTTTCATGTACTTGGTTCACCAGTGATAGCAAGTGCTCACGTGAGTTTGAGAATATATTCTCTCTTGTTTTAAACCATTTTTACTAAGTTATACGAGCATTTAACATTCCCTACCTTTGAGCTCTGGTGCTTTAACTGTATGGTTACATCATTTGCAAGAATAGGTTGACCCCCATCCCTGCCTTGTGGGATTTCAAATGACAATTAGAATTTTTTTCCTAGTTAGCAATAATAAGATATAATGAAGCCAGAATTTTTCTGCCTCTACTTTGTTGATATTTTGCCTAAGCTTATTTCCCTAGTTGATGTCTTGAGTGAAAAAAATGATTGCTCTAGGAAAACAACATTTCATTTGAAGTGTATTATATATAGTTTATACAGTTAAATGCTTTTGGCTTTCTAAAAACTTGATTTTTTTTTTCCTAGTGGAATAGAACTTTCTAAAATGGTTAAGGGTATTTATAGTCCTTTTGTGTTTACATTTAATGAACATCATTCATCTCAATGTAAGTAAAGCGTTTTGAGAGAAATATTCAGGAGAGTGATGAAGGGCCCAGTGAAAATAGTTTATGCATTGGGCCTCATTTAGTTTCATATTTCTTTACAGTTGAGATTCTTTTAGAGTTTGGTTTCTAAGTGTACTTTCGGCAAATTTGTGAAGTAAGTACCTGGCATTCCCGGCCTTTCTGTCCGTTTTCCTGATGTCACTTTCGCTTCTCTTTTTTGTTCTGGCATCCATTCATTATTTAGTAATTTGTGTTTAGTCTTCAGTGTGAATTTAAGGAACTGTTAGATCTTCCAAAGGTATTTTCATTTGATCCTGTGTTTCATAACATGTTGACAGGCTTTTGTTCATTTAAAATTTTTTTTTTCAACGTTTATTTATTTTTGGGACAGAGAGAGACAGAGCATGAACGGGGGAAAGGCAGAGAGAGAGGGAGACACAGAATCGGAAACAGGCTCCAGGCTCTGAGCCATCAGCCCAGAGCCCGACGCGGGGCTCAAACTCACGGACCGCGAGATCGTGACCTGGCTGAAGTCGGACGCTCAACCGACTGCGCCACCCAGGCGCCCCTATTTTAAAGGAACTAATTCAGAGAAAGCAAGCAGGCTTCTTTTTTTTTATTTTTTTATTAAAAAAATTTTTTTTAATGTTTATTTTTGAGAGAGACAGAGACAGAATGCGAGTGGGTTAGGGGCAGAGAGAGAGGGAGACACAGAAGCAGAAGCAGACTCCAGGCTCTGAGGTGTCAGACAGAGCCCGACGCAGGGCTCGAACTCACGAGCTGTGAGATCATGACCTGAGCCAAAGTCGGATGCTCAACTGACTGAGTCACCCATTCGCCCCACAAGCAGGCTTCTTGAAGATGGGTTCTAACTGATTTTATTCAGGCTTCTTTTAATTTGTCTGGCTGAAATATTCATTGTCATCGTATTTTTTAAAAGATTATTTTTTTATTTTTAAGTAATCTTTATATCCACTGCTGGGCTTGAACTTAGAATCCCAAGATCAAGAGTCACATGCTTCACTGACTGAGCCAGCCAGGCACTGCCATTGCTGTCATTTTTAAAAGTGGTCTTTCGGGGCGCCTGCGTGGCGCAGTCGGTTAAGCGTCCGACTTCTGCCAGGTCACGATCTCGTGGTCCGTGAGTTCGAGCCCCGCGTCAGGCTCTGGGCTGATGGCTCGGAGCCTGGAGCCTGTTTCCGATTCTGTGTCTCCCTCTCTCTCTGCCCCTCCCCCGTTCATGCTCTGTCTCTCTCTGTCCCAAAAATAAATAAACGTTGAAAAAAAAAAATTAAAAAAAAAAAAAAGTGGTCTTTCTATAGTATAAACAGATGTCATTCCCGTGCTTCGGAATCCTCCAGTGATATCCCATTACAACAGGTTAAGATCTAAACTACTTTTACTATGGTCTTCAAGTTCCTACAACATCTGTCCTGTCTACTACCTTTCAGGCTTCTTCCAGTTCTGTTTCCTCATCATTTAGATTCAACCTCATATATTACTTTTTCAGAAAGGCCTTTCCTAAATGACCTTATTTCAGGGGGTCCCTTCAGTTGCTTTCTATCACTTCACATTATTTTCAGTATATGAAATTACCATGTTTATTTGTTTACATGCTTATTGTTTCTCTTCTCCCACCAGATGACAGGGCTAGGTCTTCTTTGCTGCTGTATCCCCAAGCAACTAGAACAGTGTTTGTCACAAAGTAAGCAATCAGTAAATATTTGTCAACGTAATTTTGTGTACTAATCAATCAAGAACTTGAATTTTTTTAATTTCTGTTTATCAGAAAGAAATATTTATAACTTAGTGAAAGAAAGGATAGATATGGTTGTCAGCAGGTTCAAGATAATAGCTCTTTTTGGACTTGATGTGCAGTTGACCAGATTACCATTTCTTTACTTCATTTGTTCCTCCTGTTTTTTTTTTTTTTTTTTAAATTTTTTTTTTCAACGTTTATTTATTTTTGGGACAGAGAGAGACAGAGCATGAACGGGGGAGGGGCAGAGAGAGAGGGAGACACAGAATCGGAAACAGGCTCCAGGCTCCGAGCCATCAGCCCAGAGCCCGACGCGGGGCTCGAACTCACAGACCGCGAGATCGTGACCTGGCTGAAGTCGGACGCTTAACCGACTGCGCCACCCAGGCGCCCCTGTCCCTCCTGTTTTTAATATTAAATAGGAATCAATGTGGAAAAGTAGAAAAAGGCGTACTTTAGAATTAGACCTAGATTCATATCTTAATTCCTTCACTTAATACCTGACTCCACACTTAAATTGTGAGCCCCAATTTGTGATCTGCAAGTAGAGGTAGTAACTATCTCTCATAGAATTGCTATCTAGGTTTTGGAAGGTAATATATGTATTTTAGCATAGGTAAAAAAAATCCAAATTATTTATTATGATAGTAATGGTGCAGATGGTCTTAAAATCCTGAGTATTCAGAATAATTACAGCAGAGTTTTGTTTTGGGTATGGTCCTGGAAGTTACGTTCCCAGTTAAAGCCAAATGGATTGGACTCTGTAGTGTATTAGCAAGTGCTCTGAAGAACTAGTGGAAATTATTATGTTCATGATAGTTCCATGTTGTTTTGTTTTTGTTTTTTCATGTTTATTTATTTTTGAGA